CAATGTCTTTACTCAGTACCCATTTAACAAATTAGAGAACTAAATCTTGAAGAGATCAAGAAATTTGGCAAAAGATCACAAGGTAGTAAATGGAGTTCTGAAACATAAACCAGGTCTGTATGGCTTCAAAGTCCATGTTCTTTCTACTCTACAACAATTTTACTCATCCCAAAGAGCTTGTCCATGTATTGTACCAACTCCTCTCTTCTGTTCCCCTGATAACTGTTGGGGGCTAGCAATAGAATCCACCCTTAAGAACAAAGACCCATCAGGAGCTGAGCAGGGAGCTGGTACTCCAACCATCAGCTGGGGTTTTGTGGGAAGATTGTCCAGCCCAAGAAAGTGAAAGGGGGCAGACCAGAGGGATAAGGTCAAGGCTGAGCTTGGTTCTATGGGACAACTGCACCTCAGGAATGACACAGGCGCCTGGGACCCAACGGTGGTGCCTAGGTTCAACTTTAAACAATAATACTGCCATAAGAACACATTAAAAATCAAAATGCATGTTGAAGTCCAAGTCAGTAAATTAAGAGTTAATTGAAAAGAAGTTACTTTTGACTCTGAAGCCCTTTGTGACTCCCAATTTGTAGTCTAGAATCTGAAAGGAGTTGGTGATGGATTGAACTTTTTCTCTTTTTGCCATTTCAATGTAGAGACAGTGTTTCTGGTGGGGAAAAAAAAAAGAAAAGAAAAAGTTTTTCAAGTTACCACATCAGCAGCAAATCCCATGGAGATTATGAAAAAACAGACTCTTTTCTATGTCTGTCCAAATTTGTCCCATAGTGTGAATATAATACGGTGTCCTAAGGGGATATTACACTATAAGACACGCAAATAAAATTAACTTGATTTATCAACATGGAAGGGCCATGTGTTTACATATTGAGGGAGACTGGCAGTTAAGAACTCATAAATCATAAGACAAAGAGGAACCCTGAAAGTCAGCTTTCAACCCCCCTACCCCCTCTTTTGCAGAAGCATGTCCTTTAATGATTTTCCACTTGGGTATAAAGTAACTAACAGGCCTAGCCTGCCCCAAATAGAATGATTGTAGAAACATACGTAGCATTGGAATAATTGGAACAATTATCAGTGACATTGTTTTTGATTGAGCATAACACAGTGGTTTACCCAAACAACCCCAATCTGATTTTTTAGAGGATTTTTCATATAGATAGTGAACAAAGAAAACAATTCAGATATGAGTCCACTAGCCAGTCACTAAATATTTGTGCCAGATATTTAGCAAGAACTGGAAGCACAATAATGAATGAATGAATAAAACACTCATTCTCTGCCCTTTGTGGAGCTTCGAAAGGGAGAGAAAATTAAATGTAATTGTAACATTAAAGAGAATATCTGAAATTTTATAACAATTATTTACTGATCTGCCCTATATTGTGAGCTCCTCAAAGGAATGAATAAAAGTATTTTCATCTTTTTCCCAAGCTATGAGAAAATAAAATAAGTGCTCAATATATTTCTATGTATTTTGCAATATCTCTGGTAATATCTATGTATATGAAATAAACAGGTCAAAGTTTGCAAAGACATTCTTCTCTGCATTTTTATCTATATCATGATATGCAATCTTCTTAGGTAAAGGGGGAAAAAGTCTTAAATTTGTTTGCATTTTGCTATAAAATATATCCAAATATAGCCAGCCTATTTGTTTGCCATGGAAAGTGCACATAGGAACAGCCAGTGCAGTGTTATGAACTCACCAATATTCACAAGTTTTAATTGAATAAACTAAACTATTAGTCAATAAAGCAATAAGGAAACACAGGTATGGAATTCCAAAGCACCCATTTCACAATTTTGGTAGCATTAAGGTGAACTTCAGGAAACATGGACCATCAGACTTCCAGCCTCAGTGTATTACATGTTCTTCTCTATAGTGTGTCCATGTAGGATATTAGTATACTAGAGGACCATTGCAGGAAGATTCCTGCAAGAATAGGGCTTCCTGCGGCTGGAGCAAAGCAGAGAAGGGAGCGAAACCCGCTGAGGCGGGCTTTTCTCCGCTCCCAGCTGCTGCGGCTGGGTTTGCCCTCCCGCTCCCAGCCTCCTGCCTCTGCAGCCTTGGCTCCGCTCCTGTCTCCGCCGCCTCTACTTAGCTCCTTTCTGTAGCGCTTTGCTTCCATGTTGTCTTCAGTCTTCGCTCCCAGCCAGTATATGCAAATTAACTGCCATCTTTGTTGGCAGTTAATTTGCATATCATGCTGACTAGCCAATGGGAGGTGTAGCAAAGGTACAGTCAATTACCATGTTTGTCTATTATTAGATGCATAAAAGATATATGTATTCTCTTATGAAATTTCTGATTTTTAGACCTTCTTTCCACTTGTGATAATTATTTCATCACCTTATAGTTCAAAAGACTTCTATGACATTCTCAATCCGTCTATTAAACCACAACTCACCTTTGAGGTCTTTGCTTCTGAATAAGGCTTATCCTAATGACTTCATTTAAAATTATATGTCCCCCACTATGGCACACTCATTCTCCCTTACCTTGCTTTATTTTTCTTCAACGTACTTATTTTCTCTTGCTCTATAATTTCTCATTTATTACTTAAGTTCCATGTAAAACAGGGATTTTATCTATGTTATTCATTGCTGTTTCCCAGAACAGTGCTTGGCACGTAGTATGTCTTCAAAAACTATTTACTGACTGAATGACTGCCTAACAAAGGAAAGTTTCCAAGACACTACAAAGTTATTACAGGGCTGGCTGTCCTTCTAATTGCGATAGTACAATTAGTACTCGGTGAAGTTGAGTGACCTGAATCTTAATTTTTCTTTTGAGGATCAGAAATATGGAACTACTTGATTTTTCATAGATACTAGCCTATTTCTCTCCATTCTATCTTTCCTCATGCTTGCCCTCTTCTAGGAATGCCCTTCTATCACCCAAACTCTACCCAGATAATTTCTCCTAATTCTTTAAGGTAATTATCAGTCTTCTTATCTGAACATCATGATATGTTTCTTACATATCACAGCCCTAAATCCTAAAGTACTATAGTTCTTAGTACACTACATTTATTTTATTAATTATTTCTCTATCCCTTCAATCAAACTGTAATTTTTAAAGGGCAGAAAGTATTTTATTCATCTTAGCATGAATTCAACACAATGAGAACTGAATGAATAATGAAAAGAAACTGAGTTCAAGGCTCTTAGGAAGCAATATCAAGTGAGTCTAGCCGAGGCAGGTAGTATAGGGGGAAATGCAGAAAGTCCAAAGACCTGGATTTAGTACTGACTCTGACCACTGTTTTTAAATCTCTAGGATAAAAAGATTAAACCAATGCTGAGGCCTTTTCCAAAGCTATAGGATGGTGTTACGTGTAACTTAATGAGAGAAGTTATTAAAATGTCAGGTTTTCATGCTCCATCTACTGGTTAAATTGTAGAAAAATATCATGTGGTCTTTTCTAAATGGAAGAGTGAAGAAATTAGAAAGTGTTGTTTGTGATCAGTGAAGAAAAGAATTAAAACATTGTACTGTTTGTAAAATATTAATGACGTAGAAAATAAACAGTTGAGAAAGAAAAATAAACAGATAATTGCATGGCTGTAGTGAAAAAGCCAAAGAATACCTTGTTACTTTTGGCTCATATACATGCTGTGGAACCCAGCCCCCAATGAGCCCCACCTGCTGATGGTCACACCCTTGCACAATGTCTTTCACATTGTACCAGGATTGGTCTGTATGAGCAGTAGTATCTAGCAAGAGTGATGGCAAATCATTCCCTAGATTAGGGTATCAAAAACTTAAACTTTCATTTTAAGCCCCCCCCCCACCCCGCTTTCACCATTTCTCTTTCTTTTTCTCTTCCAGATCACTTCCTCAGCGGTCGGCAAACTGCGGCTCGGCAAACTGCGGCTCGCGAGCCACGTGCGGCTCTTTGGCCCCTTGAGTGCGGCTCTTCCACAAAATACCGACTTCTGTGCATGGGCTACAAAGTTTCAGTCACACTGTACGTGCGCGCCTGCACGTGGGAGTTTGTGGAAGAACCACACTCAAGGGGCCAAAGAGCCACATGCGGCTCGCGAGCCGCGGTTTACCGGCCACAGCTTTAAGGGAACCAGCTGCCATGCCATGAGGACACTCAGGCAGCCCATGAAGAGGCCAACATCCATATCAGAAAGGAAGAAGAAAAGTTATCTTCATTAGCAGATGTTGTGACTTTATATATAGAAAATCCTAAAGACTTCAACAAAAACTGTTATAACTAATTGATGAATTTGGTAAAAAAAAAAAAAAAAACATTTTTAAATATATTTTATTGATTTTTTACAGAGAAGAAGGGAGAAGGAATAGAGTTAGAAACATCGATGAGAAAGAAACATCGATCAGCTGCCTCCTGCACTCCCCCTACTGGGGATGTGCTCGCAACCAAGGTACATGCCCTTGACTGGAATCGAACCTGGGACCCATCAGTCCGCAGGCCGACGCTCTATCCACAGAGCCAAACCTGTTAGGACAAATTTTAAGATACAAAATTACAATACAGAAATAAGTTGCATTTCTATATACTAACAATGAAATATCTGGATAAAAATGAAAATAACCCCATTCACAACAGCATCAAAAAGAATTACATACTTAAGAATAAATTTAACCAAGGAGGTGAAAAATTTACATGGAAAACTACAATACATCAATGAAAGATACTAAAAAACACACAGATAAGTGGAGAAACACCTATGTTTATGGAACAGTGTTATAATAATGTTATGGTAATAAGAAAACTCCTCTAATGTATGGAAATAATTATTGTGTGAAATGTTTGCTGTGTGGAGACCCCAAAACTCTGTAACTTCCAAAATGTGGTGAACGCCCCACTATCTTGATGTGAATGCCCTAAGCTCTTAAATTGTAAACACCCTGCTCCTAGCATAAGGCAAACCATCTGGCTTACACTGATAAGACACAAGTTTTTTACTACTGGCTGTATAAGCACCAGATTTTCTTCAGTGGACGTCTCCTGCCTGATGAGAGGAGGACTCCACGTCACTCCGTGAGACAAGCCCCTGATTGACTGCTCGGCTGTGTGAGCCTGAACCAACTGTGGCTGCCTGTCTGTCTCCGTCTTCGTCGTCCATCTTTTGGTTTGCATCACCGGGTGGCCTTTGCTGGAGCCTAAGACCCACTAGGAATAGGTAAATAAACCTTGTGTGATTGCATATTAATTCTGTCTTGTGTATTTATGTGTTCCGGTTCGGCTCAGCTGTCTAGACATTGAAGTACCAGGGGATAGGCCATTATTGCTGACTCCTGGTCACCTGCATTTGTCCCACTAAGTCTAGACAGATAATTAATTAATTGGGGCATAATTGGGACAACAGAATAAATAATATTGCTTAAATGTTCATACTATCCAAAGTCATCTATAGAGTTAATGTAATTAATCCCTATCAAAGTTCCAATGGTATTTTTCACAGAAATAGGGAAAAAATGCTATAATTTCTGTGGACCCACAAAAGACCCTGAATAGACAAAGCAAGAACAAAGCTGGAGAAATCACACTTCCTGATTTCAAACTATTCTACAAACTACAGGAATCAAAATAGTATATTACTGGCATAAAAATAGACAGATAGGCTGATAGAACAGAATTTACAACCTCAAAATAAACTAATGCATATATGGTCAATTTATGACAGAAAGTACATTGACTATACAATGAGGAAAGAATAGTCTCTTCAAAAACGGGTACTGGGAAAACTGGATAATCACATGCAGAAGAATGAAATTGGCCTGCTATCTCACACCACTCACAAAAATTAACTCACGTGAATTAAAGGCTTAAACATAAGGCCTGAAACCACAAATATCTCAGATAAAAACATAAGAAAGTAGCTCCTTAACATTCGACACCAAAAGCACAGGCAACAAAAGCAAAAATAGACAAATAATATTATAGCCAATGAAAAAGCTTCTGCACATCAAAGAAACAATCAACAAAGTGAAAAGACAGTCTATGGAATGGAAGAAAATATTTGAAAATCATATCTGGTAAGGGGTTAATAACTAAAAAATAAGGAACTCAAATAACTCCATAGCAAAAGAAAAAGAGAGAGAGAGAGAGAGAGAGAGAGAGAGAGAGAGAGAGAGAGAAACCGACAAAACTTTCTGGGCCTAATTCACATCTTTCTGGTTTTCCTCATTTCTGAAATTGGCATAATAAAAACGATCGTGGGGAAAAATAGTAAATTTTGCAGTTGCTCTGAGGATTGAATATTATATGTACTTGAAAATTTGTTAGAAACAAATTTTTTATTTCTATTTTTTTTTTTATTTCTAAAGTGGTTTCCATAGTTAGAATTAGGGTGCTAGGGCGTTTGCCTTCTTGTGTCTCAGTGAGGGGATTATTTTAAGATGTTACCAAGAAAAATCCACTCTACTTCAAGTGGAAGTTAGCTCACTTTGCACAAAGTACTTTGAAGAGAAGTCTTTCTGTTTAAAAGTTGGAGACATGGGGGGGGGGGGGCAGGGAAACAAAACAAACAAAAAATCTGATTAAAAATTGGGCACAGGATCTAAATAGCCATTTATCCAAAGAAGGTATCCATATGGTATCTACAATACATGAAAAGAGGCTCAATATCCATAATCACCAGGGACATGCAAATCAAAACCATAATGAACAATCACCTCACACCTGTTAGAAAGGCTAATATCAAAAAGACCAGAGATAACAAGTGGTAATCATTTTGCAATATATAAGTGCATCATATCAGCACATGGTATGCCCTTTAAACTTATACAGTGTTGTTGTATGCCAATTACATCTCAATAAAGATGGAAAAAAGAATTGTTTTTAGAGAATTGTTGTTTTTAATTGTTTTTAAAGAATTACAGTTTCTGGCCACCAAAAGCCAGGGCTTCGAAGCAGATCCTCCCCTTATTGACTCCTCGGAGTGGACTAACAGCAGCTCAGGCTAACAGCTTGACCTTATGATCGAGCCAGAGCCCCCCAGCTCAGCTTTGCTCAATTCCTGCTCCATAGACTCTATGAGATAATCGATGATTTTGTTTTAAGCTGTTAGGTTTTGAAGTTATTTGCTATACTTACGTGTTCAATGAATCTGGCTTAACTTTTTTTCTTTTTTAAAAAAATTATTGAATTCATTGGGGTGACATTAGTTATTAAAATTATATAGGTTTCAGGTGTACAATTCTATACTGGCTTGACTTTTTAACATGGAAGTGCACACATTCATCTTCCTCAGGATGTTAATCATTCTGCAAACATATTTGGTGTTTGCATGCATTGCTTCTCAGATACACATATTTCAATATAATAAGAGCCCAGAGAGATATAAAGACTATGGAGACTTTTTACTTAAAATATATTGATATTTTACTAATATTAATGTATGAGAGATGACTATATGCCTTTAAAAAAACATAGTTTGTCACCATTTTATGGTATGTAAGTGATGGGTGTAAACCTCAATAGAGATCAGTTGACTTATGTGGGTGTTTTTTTTTTTACTTTAATTCTATAGTCATTTTTCAAGTCTACCATTTTCCAAAGAATAGATAAATATTCATAGACTATTATTTTTTCTTTCATTTTCTTTTTTTTTTTTTGCCATAAAGGGACTTGTCTACTAATGCTATGTAGATTAATGAGGTATAAAGTGAAAAGAGATGCATGTAGATAATTAGTTGAGATGTTGTCAAGGAAATGGTTTCTGTGTTATCTATAATCTTTTGATTAAATTTTCTAATGAAATTTGGATTTAATGTTTAAAACCTTAAAAGAGATAAAAATCAACTCATCTTGGCTTAACTGAAAGTTTGAAGCATATAGTAGATACAGATTCCAAGTCTAGCTAGTGACCTTTTATTAATTAAAATAGAAATCATAAAAGCAAACAAAATTTCTTAGTTATACTCAAAAATCTTAGAGTTATGGAAACAAAGTTCAGGGAAGATGAAGCAAATAATTTTTCAAGTGTCTAACTCTCCATTAAAATGTTTGGCAGCACCTTTCACATATTGCAAAATTTGACTAGGTATTAAGAGATATTTGTTCAATGGTGACCATCTGTTGGAAAAAGAAAAATAGGAAGAAAGGAAATACATATATATGTGACACATAGGCACAGATAGCAGTGTGGTGATGGCCAGAGGGTAAGGAGGTAGAGGGAGAGGTAGAAGTGAGCAAAGGGGGGATATATGGGGATAGTAAGAAATTTAACTTTGGGCATTGAGCGCACAATACAGTGTGCAGATAACATTTTGTTGAGTTGTACACTTGAAACCTGTGTGGTTTCATTAACCAATGTCACCCCAATAAATTCAATTTTAAAAAAAGAACTAAAAAAAGGGTACATTGCTATAGATGGTAGGACAGCTGGGTCCTTTGAGAAGTTCTCTTTGGCGTTCTCACAGGACCTTGATCTTCTTCTGTTCTTGAAGTCTGGACTACATGCCTGCTCGCCCACCAGCTGCAAGTAGCCCACCCTAGTGTGCTTATCATACGACTAAGTAAATCGAGGTCAGTTTTCAGGCTTCCATACTCCAGTGAGCTCAGGCTTTAAACCTGACTGAATTTTATTTCTACAGGCTTAATAAACTCGGAGAGTTAAAAAAAAAAAAAAAAAACTCAACAAATACATCTTTGCATTTCTAGTTTTGGACTTTGTTTCTAGGCTCTCTGTATGCAGAAGTGGAGGGCAAAAGAAAAGTAACCTCAAGTGTTTATGTGATCATATGTCTCTTTTATCTTAATTTTGGAGAATAAGCTGCCTATAATTGTCTTCTTATTATAAGCTATTTATAGTCTCTTGTTTTGTTAACTTGCTATTGTTCATTACTTTTTAAAGATTTAATTTCAGTGAACCTTAGAATGGTGAATGGGGGGTTACTATACATAGAGAGTTTAACAAGCTAAGGTCCAACATGTTCGTGTAACGCCTTATCTTATTTATCGTGACATAACCCTGGGATGGTTTCCTGTCTGCAGATCCACTGTTAGAACACCATTAAAATATTGTATATGGAATCATACCACCCGTTTATGAATTAGCTATATTTTAGTTTCTTCTACTTTAGAATCACTATAAAAGAGGCATTTCTTCCAGATAAATGAAGATTTGATGCATATCAAGGGAGCAAATAATAGGTTATTCATGATCATCTGCAAATACCTAAAAGAGAAATGAAACCTCAAAATATTCAATCTAGTACTTACCTACTATAAGTTTATACTAAGGTTAGTTATCGCCATCCAAAAATACCTAAAGATCAAGTCTTCTGCTCCTGGAAGTATTTAGCATGTTACCTTGTACATAATAGGCACTCTCTTATGGAAGAGAGAAGGAGGAAAGAAAGAGTGAGTTTGCAGCAAGGACAATGCAGCTAACAATTGCACAATACAGCTACAAAGCAGAGGATTCCTTAAGATATTCAGTCAAATGCCTCAATAAGGATTTTCTAAACTCTCTGGGCTCCACAGAGTTAAATATTATGTACATTCACTCAATTCTTAAACACACAGTCCCAAATCTGTATCACTCTTTGAGGTGAGGAATTATTCATTACTTTATGTGGTGGGAGATAAGGTTAAAAAAAAGATAGAGAAATAACAAAGTAAGGCAAAGTTAATTTCCTGACGAAGTAATACAAAATCCCCTGTATCCTCTCACTTCAAAAACTCTCCAACTCTAGGCAAATACTAGAGGCAAAGGACAGGGAAAGCAGATGAGGGAGTTTGGTCATTTGGGGCGCTTGTCAGAAAAACTAAATATTTTCCCCAAATGTTTTACGTTCAATAATACCCAACCACAATGTGCCAAGCCTGTTTTCTCTTAATTTTTCAAACCCCTGTGTATTCCATGCTGAAATGTAATCCATGTGTCTCTGATTTGCTTACACTTAAATCATTATAAAATGTTCAACTTTAAAAAAGGATGTCCCAGACATCTTTTGTGTCATCCTCCTGATCCTCGTTCAGAATATGGCATTTTGAAGAGTCAATGGAGACAAAGCCCTGTATAATTAATTAGAACTCAGAACTTACAAACTCTGCATAGATTTTTGTCTGCATGCATAAAAGCATGAATTTGTTCAATTAAGAAGAAAGAATTAGAAAATTTACTAAATTGATCTATTTCCTTATAAAACTCCTTTAGATATTTATGATAAG